CCCCGCCAGAGGAGCCCAGCGCCGCACCGCCGCCGCCGCCGCCGCTGCCGCTGCCGGCGCTGCTGCAGAGCCGGCTGCCTCTTGAGTTGCAGCGGCTGCTGGACCGCATGCAGCGGCGGCTGGACGGCGAAGAGGGGGCGGGCGCTGCGCTGGACTCGCTGTCGCTGGGCGGGGCGAGCCCGAGGAGCTTTGTCGGGTCGGCCGGCAGCGGCGGCGGCGCGGCCGCCGCGATGCGCTTCGGCAAGGTGCGCCGCCGCTTCCCCAGTGCTGAGGCAGCGCATGCCGCCGTCCCCTCAAGCATGGCTTTTCGCTTCGTAAGAACAGCGTGGCACCCTCGTCGTGCGCAATATCAGGCACAACAAACGGCCACTCCCCGCAAATGACTGACGTCTCCGCCTCCCTGCCCCCCCGGTTGTTGTGATCTCCTAATCCGCCCCCGCCCCGCAGCAGGCAATCTCCTCGAGCGCCACCTCCCTCCACACGATGGGCTCCCTCGGCGGCATCAAATACGCCGTCTCAGCCGCCTTCGCCCAGGCCGGCGCGCCGCAGCAGCCCCTGAACCCGCAGCCGCCGCCGCCCGCCCTAGGCCTCGGCCTCCCGCTGTCGGCGCCTGATCGGACGCCGCCCACGAGCAGCTACTCCCGGGAGGCTCGTGCGTCGTGGGCGGCGGCCGCGGCGTCGGTACCGCCGATCGACGCCGTGCTCGGCAGCAGCGCGCCCGCGCTGGGCGCGCCCGCGCCGCCGGCGCGGCTGGGGTCGCAGCAGTCGCTCAGCGCGTCGTGGGGCGCCGGTCGTGGGTCGGGCGGCGGCGAGGGAGGGGCGCGCGGCAGCGGCGGCGGGGGCGACGACGCCGCGGCGGCATTGAGGGCGCTGCAGGCGCGGCTGGACGCGCTCGTGTTCCGCCTGGCCCCCGCCGCCCTGGCCGCCTTTGGCGGCGCCGCCGCCGTCTCCGCGCCGCAGCGGCTCGCGGTCGCGGGCGCGCTCGAGCGCCACGGCAGCGTCGGCGGCCGCGACGACGCCATCGCCGCGCTGCGCGCCGCGC